TGTTGGCCGATGCCTGGGCAGAGACCACCCATGTGACCCCAGAAAGGGCGCATGGGCTTGGATGGCCATCTGTCGAGAGGGATCGGATGGTGTCTTCCTCTCCAGCAGAACGGGGTTGGACTGGATGACCTTTAGAGATCCCTTCCAAGTCTAGGATTCTATGCTTTCGGGTTTGTTTTGGAGGTCAGTGTTGGGCAGAGACCCCCCATGTGACCCCAGAAAGGGCGCATGGGCTTGGATGGCCATCTGTCGGGAGGGATTGGATGGTGCCTTCCTCTTCAGCAGAGCGGGGTTGGACTGGATGGGCTTTAGAGATCCCTTTCCAAATCTACGATTCTATGATTTCGGGTTTGTTTTGGACCTCAGTGGTGGCCGATGCCTGGGCAAGACCATGCGCATAAAAGGGCGCATGGGCTGCAGTGGGAGACCTATGTGGCTGAGGCTTGGCCAGAGGTCGGGGTCACTCTCTCTGGCCGGAATCGCCCTTCCTTGTTCCCTACGTGAGCCTTCCCTTTTGGCAATCCTTATGGAACGCCGGCCAGGAGAGGCGGTGCGCTGCGGTGTGCCCCATTGCCATAGGGATGCCACATGCATCCTCAGCAAGAAGCCCGGCTGGCGGTGGCGATAGTGGCGCTCTTCCCAATCCGGTTCTTGTTTTTTGGGGCGCATCTACACTGAGCAGTGGCCTCACATGAACCACCCTTGGCTCAAGGCTATGGCATCCTGGGAGGGGTCGATGCGTAACGCATTATTATTTCCAGTGCGCTCTCAAATTTATGCCTTCCCATAGATTAAAGCGCTTCCAATTTACATTTCAAATGCACATGAAGCATCAAACTTGTTGCATTGCACCATTTTGATTCCAATTGTTCGCTGCTTCAGGATACTGGGAGTTGTAGTTTGGCCGTGGGCATATGTATAATGTTGGATTATGCGTGGCAACTGCTACAGAATTCTGGGAGTTGTAGTTTTGCCGGGGGCGTATGTACAATGTTGGATTATGCGCGGCGACTGCTACAGAATTCTGGGAGTTGCAGTTTGGCCGTGGGCGTATGTACAATGTTGGATTATGCGTGCGACTGCTACAGAATTCTGGGAGTTGTAGTTTGGCTGTGGGCGTATGTACAATGTTGGATTATGCGTGCGACTGCTACAGAATTCTGGGAGTTGTAGTTTGGCCGTGGGTGCATGTACAATGTTGGATTATGTGCGGCGACTGCTACAGAATCCTGGGAGTTGTAGTTTGGCCGTGGACGTATGTACAATTGTGGATTATGCGCGCGACTGCTACAGAATTCTGGAAGTTGTAGTTTTGCCATGGGCACGTGTACAATGTTGGATTATGCGCGGCGACTGCTACAGAATTCTGGGAGTTGTAGTTTGGCCGTGGGCGTATGTACAATGTTAGATTATGCGCGGCGACTGCTACAGAATTCTGGGAGTTGTAGTTTTGCCGTGGGTGCATGTACAATGTTGGATTATGCACCGTGACTGCTACAGAATTCTGAGAGTTGTAGTTTTGCTGTGGGCGTATGTACAATGTTGGATTATGCGCGCGACTGCTACAGAATTTTGTTGCATTGCACCACTTTGATTCCAATGCTTCACTTCTACAGAATTCTGGGAGTTGTAGTTTGGCCGTAGGCGTATGTACAATGTTGGATTATGCGCGGCAACTGCTACAGAATTCTGGGAGTTGTAGTTTGGCCGTGGGTGCGTGTACAATGTTGGATTATGCGCGGCGACTGCTACAGAATTCTGGGAGTTGTAGTTTTGCTTTGGGCGCATGTACAATGTTGGATTATGCGCAGCGTGGCTCCACTGTGACTGCTACGGAACCCTGGGAGTTGTGGTTTGCTAAGGGCACATTTACTTCCTCAATACAGAAGGCATCTTGGGAGTTGTAGTTTTACTAAGCACGCATCTACACTACTGAATTATATACAGTTTGCGGTACAGAATGAATACTGGGAGTTGTAGTTTTTTACTAAGCACATGTCTACACTGTGGAGCTATATCAATTTGTGTTAGGGAAGGCATCTTGGGAGTTGTAGTCTTACTAAGAGCACACCTACACTGCCAAATTATATGCAGTTTGTGCTATGGATGGAATTCTGGGAGTTGTAGTTTGCTAAGTGTACATCTACACTGCGAATTATATGCAGTTTGTGTTATGGTTAGAATTCTGGGAGTTGTAGTTTGCTAAGTGTACATCTACCCTGCAAATTATATGCAGTTTGGAATTCTGGGAACTGTAGTTTGCTAAGTGCACATCTACACTGCAAATTATATGCAGTTTGTGTTACGGAAGGAAGCCATGGAGTTGTAGTTTTACTAAGCACACCTCTACACTGCAAAATTGTATGCAGTTTGTGGCATGGAGGGAATCCTGAGAGTTGTAGTTTTTTACTAAGCACACACCTGCCCTGCCAAATTATATGCAGTTTGCATTATGGAATGAATCCTGGGCGTTGGTAAACAACTACAACTCCCAGGATTCATTCCATAATGTTATGTTACTGAAGGAATCCTGGGAGTTGTAGTCTACTAAGCACACATCTACACTGCCAAATTATATGCAGTTTGTGTTACGGAAGGAATCCTGGGAGTTGTAGTCTTACTAAGTGCACACCTGCCCTGCCAAATTATATGCAGTTTGCATTGTGGAATGAATCCTGGGAGTTGGTAAACAACTACAACTCCCAGGATTCATTCCATAATGCAAACTGCATATAAAGGCCACACCTACATAGTCAAATTATACGCAGTTTATGTTACTGACGGAATCCTAGGAGTTATAGTTTACTAAGCACACATCTACACTGTCTAATTAGCTACAGTTTATGTTATGGAATGAAACCTAGGAGTTATAGTTTTACCAAGGGTGCATTCGCACTGTCACATTATATGCAGATTGGCCCTACTTTGATTGCTCAGGGCTATGGGATTCTGGGAGTTGTAGTTTTATGAGGCACCAGCACTCTTTGCCACAGCAGGCTGAAGACCTTGGCAAACTACGACTCCCAGGATCCCATAGCAGTGTGAGGTCAAACTACATGTAATTTGATAGTGTAGCTGCAGCCTTAGTGAAACTGTAACTCCCAGGACCACAGGGCTATGGGATTCTGGGAGTTGTAGTATTATGAGGCACCAGCACTCTTTGTCACAGCAGGCTGAAGACCTTGGCAAACTACGACTCCCAGGAACCCATAGCAGTATGAGGTCAAACTGCATGTAATTCAGTCTTAGTGAAACTATAACTCCCAGGAGCTCAGGGCTATGGGATCCTGGGAGTTGTAGTATTATGAGACACCAGCACTCTTTGTCACAGCAGGCTGAAGACCTTGGCAAACTACGACTCCCAGGATCCCATAGCATTGTGAGGTCAAACTGAATGTAATTTGATAGTGTAGCTGCAGCCTTAGTGAAACTGTAACTCCCAGGAGCTCAGGGCTATGGGATCCTGGGAGTTGTAGTATTATGAGGCACCAGCACTCTTTGTCACAGCAAGCTGAAGACCTTGGCAAACTATGACTCCCAGGATCCCATAGCAGTGTGAGGTCAAAGTGCATGTAATTCAGTCTTAGTGAAACTATAACTCCCAGGATTGTGTAGCAAAGTGGAGCCAAAGGTATATTAATCCTACAAGTGTACACGACGCAGCCTTTGTGCTTGGCTCATGTGTCTCGGTGCATGATCCTGATATAGCCATTGTTCTGCAGCCAGGGAGGTGTGTTCATGCGCAGGCGCATGAGCGGCCTTGAGCCACAGATAAAGATGAATGGACTCCCCCCCTCTCCTTTCTGTCCGTGCGTGGATGGCGCTCCACGTGACTTTGATGCTCCTTAACACCCTCCATATTTAGATGCGGCTGCCTTTGTGAGTGAATGGCCCATGTGCCGGCGCACGCAGCAGCAGCATCGTATGGAGAGGTGGGCGTGCTCTCTTTCTCCTCCCTTTTCCCCCACATGCAAACATTCCTGCTCGTCCTTCCCAAACCTCTCATGCTTCCCTTCGCAGTGGGAGGGTCGCTTCTTCTTCCCCGCTGCCGAGCTGAGCGCATGGAGGCGCATTGCTGAGCTAGAAGGGAGTTTTCAGAAGGAAACAGGGTCCCTTTCCTCCCAAAAAAGAAGGTATGTTGGGGTCGTTGAGATGTCTTCACAGACCTCGTTGACATACACAATGTGTTCATTTAAGGGCATTTAAGTGGCGCATGAATCCGGTGCGCATACCTTATATTGTGTTAGGGGCTTGTTGCAAGGGTTACTAAGCAGGCTGATTTGTAATTTTTGTGTGTTGTTGTTTGTTGTTGTTTCTTCACAGGCCTCTTGCCATACATGATGTGTTCATTTAAGCGCACTTAAGTGGCGCATGAATCCGGTGCGCATACATTATATTGTGTTAGGGGCTTGTTGCAAGAGTTACTAAGCAGGCTGATGTGTATTTTTTGTGTGTTGTTGTTTCTTCACAGGCTTCTTGCCATACATTATGTGTTCATTTAAGGGCACTGAAGTGGCGCATGAATCCAGTGCGCATACCTTATATTGTGTTAGGGGCTTGTTGCAAGGGTTACTAAGCAGGCTGATTTGTAATTTTTGTGTAATTTTTGTGTGTTGTGGTTTCTTCACAGGCATCTTGCCAAACATGATCAGTTTATTTAATGGCACTGAAGTGGCGCATGAATCCGGTGCGCATATTGTGTTAGGGTCTTGTTGCAAGGGTTACTAAGCAGGCTGATTTGTAGTTTTTGTGCAATTTTTGTGTGTTGTGATTTCTTCACAGGCCTCTTGCCAAACACGATCTGTTCATTTAAAGGCACTTAAGTGGCGCATGAATCCGGTGCGCAAACTACAACTCCCAGGCCCCTATGGCCAAACTACAACTCCCAGATCCCTATGGCCAAACTATGACTCCCAGGTTCCTATAGTCAAACTATGGATCTCTGGGTCCTATAGCCAGACTACAACTCCTAGGAACTTATAGCCAAATTACGACTCCCCAGGTCCCTATAGACAAACTATAACTCCCAGGGTCCTATCGTTAAACTAAGCCTCCCAGTTCCCTGTAGACAAACTACGACTCCCAGGATCCTATAAAAAATTACAAGTCCCAGGGTCCTATAGCCAAACTGCGACTTCTACTCTCTTATAGCCAACTTAAATTCCTAGGATCTTATACCAAACTACAACTCCCAGGTTCTTGTAGCCAAACTACAACTCCCAGGACTCTAGCCGAACTACAACCCGCAGGTCCCTATGGACAAACTACAACTCCCAGAGCCCCATAGATAAACTATGACTCCCAGGGTCCTATAGCCAAACTACAACCCCCAGGTCCCTATGGCCAGACTACAACTCCCAGAGCCCCTTAGACAAACTATGACTCCCAGGGTCCTTTAAACTATGGCTCCCATGGTCCTACAGCCAAATGGTGACTTCCAGGGTCCAATAGTTAAACAACAACTCCCAGTGTCGAATAGCTAAACTACAACTCCCAGGCCTCATAGCTAAACTACAACTCCCAGGCCTCATAGCTAAGCTACAACTCCCAGGTCTCATAGACAATTTATGATTCCCAGGGTCCTTTAAACTATGCCTCTCATGGTCCTATGGCTAAACTACAAGTCCCAGATCCCTATAGCCAAACTACAATTCCCAGGATCCTATGGTCAGTCTACAACTTCCAGATCCCTATGGCCAGACTACAACTTCCAGATCCCTATGGCCAGACTACAACTTCTAGATCCCTATGGCCAGACTACAACTTCCAGATCCCTATGGCCAAACTACAACTTCCAGATCCCTATGGCCAAACTACAACTTCCAGATCCCTATGGCCAGACTACAACTTCCAGATCCCTATGGCCAGACTACAACTTCCAGATCCATATGGCCAGACTACAACTTCCAGATCCCTATGGCCAGACTACAACTTCCAGATCCCTATGGCCAAACTACAACTTCCAGATCCCTATGGCCAAACTACAACTTCCAGATCCCTATGGCCAGACTACAACTTCCAGATCCCTATGGCCAGACTACAACTTCCAGATCCCTATGGCCAGACTACAACTTCCAGATCCCTATGGCCAGACTACAACTTCCAGATCCCTATGGCCAGACTACAACTTCCAGATCCCTATGGCCAGACTACAACTTCCAGATCCCTATGGCCAAACTACAACTTCCAGATCCCTATGGCCAAACTACAACTTCCAGATCCCTATGGCCAAACTACAACTTCCAGATCCCTATGGCCAAACTACAACTTCCAGATCCCTATGGCCAGACTACAACTTCCAGATCCCTATGGCCAGACTACAACTTCCAGATCCCTATGGCCAGACTACAACTTCCAGATCCCTATGGCCAGACTACAACTTCCAGATCCCTATGGCCAGACTACAACTTCCAGATCCCTATGGCCAGACTACAACTTCCAGATCCCTATGGCCAGACTACAACTTCCAGATCCCTATGGCCAGACTACAACTTCCAGATCCCTATGGCCAAACTACAACTTCCAGATCCCTATGGCCAAACCACAGCTTCCAGGATACTATAGCCAAACAGTGACTCCCAGAGTCCAATAGCTAGACGACAACTCCAAGGTTCCCATAAACAAACTGCAGCTCCCAGGTCTCACAGCTAAACTACAGCTCCCAGGGTCCTATGGCCAAGCTGTGGCTCCCAAAGTGGAGTCAAGAGGGAGGGAGTGGGGAGGGGGCTTGTACACTGCCAAGTGTGCATAATATGCGCTTGTGTGTGTGGGTGGGTGGGTGCCAGGCCTGTGTGGCTCTGTGCGCTCAGTACGTGTGCCGCCGGCGCCGGGGAGCATGCAGGCCCATGTGCCGGGAACAGGCCGTACCATTACGTAAGAGAGGGATTGGACGGAGGAGCCAAACACGCGCACACTGGCGGCACCCCCCCCCCTCTGCTTTTGCACACTTCTCCCTCCTGGTGTCAACAAAAGCACATGGCCCCGGCGGATGACTCTGCCCTTGCGCCCTGCCAAGAGAGGAAAGAAATATAAGGCAATCATCGTATCAATTGCAAACCCCCTCCCCACCCCAAAAGAAACCCCAAAGTGGGAAGGGACCCCCAAAGGCCATCCATTCCAACCCACTTCTGCTTCCCACTTGTGTTTTTCTTCAAACCGAGGTTTGGTTTAATTGCATTTTAAATTTTTGTACCTATTTTCATTATTATTACTAGCTGTAACCACCGTGCGTTGTGTGGCCAACCTTCTCCTCTTTCTTTTTTTCTTTCTTTCCTTCCTCCTTCTCCCTCTCCTTCTCATTCTCCTCTTCCTTTTCCTCTCCTCTTTTTTCATCTCTTCCTCCCTCCCTCCTCATTCTTCTCCTTTTTTTCATGTCCTATGCTTTGCTCTTACTTCTCCTCTTTCTTTCTTTCTTTCTTTCTTTCTTTCTCTCCTTCCTTCTTCCTCCTTTCCTTTTTTCCTTTTCTTTCTTTCTCTCCTTTCCCTCCTTCCCTCCCTCCCTTCCCTCTCCTTCCTCTTTCTTTCTTTCTTTCTTTCTTTCTTTCTTTCTTTTTTTCTTTCTTTCTTTCTTTCTTTCCTCCTCTTCCCTCCTTCTCCTTTCCTTCCTTCCTCCCTCCCTCTCCTCCTCTTTTCTCCTTCCTTCCTTCCTCCTTCTTCTTTTTTTTCTTCCTTCTTCTCTCTTTCTTTCTTCTTCTTTCTTCTTTCCTTCTCCTTCCTTCCTTCCTTCCTTCCTTCCTTCCTTCCTTCTTACTTTTTCTTTCTTCCTTCCTCTCCTTCCTTCCTTCCTTCCTTCCTTCCCTCCTTCCTAGGCATTTAAGGTTGGTCTAGATGACCTTTGGGGTTCCCTCTCAACTGGGCAGTTCTTCCCATCCTTGGGAAAAGAATAGCTTTAAATTGGTTTTAGAGCAATGCAGTACTGCTTTGGTAAACAAAACACTTAATTAGCTAATCCCAGGACACGTGGGGTGGTCTAGATGACCTTTGGGGTCCCCCTTAATTGGGAAATTGTACCCATCCTTGTTCAATAAGGGTTGCTTTTGGGGTTCCCCCTCAACTGGGCGGTTCTTCCCATCTTTGGGAGCGGAAGGATGTCTTAATACTGGTTTTAGAGCAATGCAGGGCTGCTTTGGTAAACAAAACACTTAATTAGCCATTCCCAGGACACGTGGGATGGTCTAGATGACCTTTGGGGTTCCCTTTGGCAGTTCCATCCATCGTTGAGCATTATGCGCCTGCCCTTCCCTGTCCCTCCCCGTGTTATGTAATGGTAGCCCTTGTTGCCAAGCCAGACAGGGAGGCGCATGCATGCATGCTTCTTAATCTCCCCGATCTGCCTCTCCCGGGCCCTTCCTTCCTTCCGCAAGTCGCAAAGAGGCACATGGAGGCGGCACATGGGGAGCCATGTGTCACAGGCAAGGAAGGCCGCTCCCACCTGCCTGCCTGCCTGCGCGCCCGCCCACCTGGCGCACGCTGCAAAGGTGGCATTTGTCGCACACACAGGCGGAGGGAAAAAGGTTTTCATGCGCCAATGCGCACCATGCGCCGAGAACCTGTAAAGCTCCCCAAAAGCCTGGAAAGACCGGACCATTCACAAAAACAAGGTTGCCCTGCACATGTGAGCATGAATGCAAAGCCTCCTTGCCCTTTCCTTCATGCAATGCACTGATGCACCACCTTCATCAAAGCCTTTTGCATTGATCGTTTTTTGCACATCCTCACTGTAAATAAATGCAGTTTCACCCCGCTTTCATTGTAATGGCTGTCAAATGCCGGGAGTTGTAGTTCCACGAGGCCTTCTCTTCCAAAGAGAGGAAACTACAGCTCCCAGGAAGCCATCGCATTGAAACTGCATTGGTTCTGCCCTTGGGAAAAACTACAAATCCCAGGATCCGAGAGGAAACTACACTTCCAGGAAGCCATTGCATTGAAACTGCATTGGTTCTGCCCTTGGGAAAAACTGCAACTCCCAGGATCCCATCACATTGGAACTGCCTTGGTTCTATAGTGTAGATGCGCCCTTAGTGGAAACTACAACTCCCAGGATCCCATGACATTGGAACTGCATTTCTTCTACTGTGTAGATGCAAACTTTCACCCAGCTTTCATTTCAATGGCTCGATGCTGTCGAATGCTGGGAGTTGTAGTTCCACGAGACCTTCTCTTCTAAAGAGAGCAAACTATAGATCCCAGGAAGACATCACATTGGAACTTCATGCGCTCTACAGCGTAGACGCGCCCTTGGGAAAAATTACAATTCCCAGGATCCCATCGCATTGGAACTGCCTTGGTTCTATACTGTAGATGTGACCTTAGTGAAAACTACAACTCCCACGATTCCATCACATTGGAACTTCCTTGGTTCTATACTGTAGATGCGCCCTTAGTAAAAACTACAGCTCCCACGATCCCATCCCATTGGAACTGCCTTAGTTCTATAGTGTAGATGCGCCCTTAGTAAAAACTACAGCTCCCAGGATCCCATCCCATTGGAACTGCCTTGGTTCTATACTGTAGATGCGCCCTTAGTGAAAACTACAACTCCCAGGTTCTCATCCCATTTGAACTGCCTTGGTTCGATAGTGTAGATGCGCCCTTAGTGAAAACTACAGCTCCTAGGATCCCATCACATTGAAACTGCCTTAGTTCTATAGTATAGATGCGCCCTTAGTGAAAACTACAAATCCCAGGATCCCATCCCATTGGAACTGCCTTGGTTCTATAGTGTAGATGCGCCCTTAGTGAAAACTACAGCTCCCAGGATCCCATCCCATTGGAACTGCCTTGGTTCTATACTGTAGATGCGCCCTTAGTAAAAACTACAGCTCCCACGATCCGATTACATTGGAACTGCCTTCGTTCTATACTGTAGATGCGCCCTTAGTAAAAACTACAGCTCCCAGGATCCCATCCCATTGGAACTGCCTTGGTTCTATACTGTAGATGCGCCCTTAGTGAAAACTACACCTCCCAGGATCCCATCCCATTGGAACTGCCTTGGTTCTATACTGTAGATGCGCCCTTAGTGAAAACTACAGCTCCCAGGATCCCATCCCATTGGAACTGCCTTAGTTCTATAGTCTGTAGACAGTCCACGTTTCGCAGGCGAATAGCAGGGTTGAGAGGACAATAGCTTTATAGACAAGCACCTTGGTATCCCTATGGATGTCCCGATCCTCAAACACTCTCTGCTTCATTCAAAAGAATGCTGCACTTGCAGAGCTCTGGCAGTGTTGTCTTTCAGTGTCAGTGTTGACTTTTGTGGACGTCTGTAGATAGTCCATGTTTTGAAGGCTTATAACAGGGTTGGGAGGACAATGGCTTTATCAACAAGCACCTTGGTCTCCCTGCGGATGTCCCGGTCCTCAAACACTCTTGGCTTCATTCAGAAAAATGCTGCCCTCGCAGAGCTCAGACGGTGTTGTATTTCAGTCTTACTGTTGATGTCTGTAGACAGTCTACGTTTCGCAGGCATATAGCAGGGTTGGGAGGACAATAGCTTTACAAACAAGCCCCTTGGTCTCCCTACGGATGTCCCGATCCTCAAACACTCTCTGCTTCATTCAGAAGAATGCTGCACTTGCAGAGCTCTGGCAGTGTTGTCTTTCAATGTCAGTGTTGACTTTTGTGGACGTCTGTAGACAGTCCATGTTTTGAAGGCTTATAACAGGGTTGGGAGGACAATGGCTTTGTAAACAAGCCCTTGTAAACAGGTGTCCCGGACCTCAAACACTCTCTGCTTCATTCAGAAGAATGCTGCACTTGCAGAGCTCTGGCAGTGTTGTCTTTCAGTGTCAGTGTTGACTTTTGTGGACGTCTGTAGACAGTCCATGTTTTGAAGGCTTATAACAGGGTTGGGAGGACAATGGCTTTATCAACAAGCACCTTGGTCTCCCTGCGGATATCCCGGTCCTCAAACACTCTCGGCTTCATTCAGAAAAATGCTGCCCTCGCAGAGCTCAGACGGTGTTGCATTTCAGTCTCAGTGTTGACGTCTGTAGACAGTCTACGTTTCGCAGGCATATAGCAGGGTTGGGAGGACAATAGCTTTACAAACAAGCCCCTTGGTCTCCCTACGGATGTCCCGATCCTCAAACACTCTCTGCTTCATTCAGAAGAATGCTGCACTTGCAGAGCTCTGGTAATGTTGTCTTTCAGTGTCAATGTTGACTTTTGTGGACGTCTGTAGACAGTCCATGTTTCGCAGGTGTATAGCAGGGTTGGGAGGACAATGGCTTTATAAACAACCCCCTTGGTCTCCCTATGGATGTCCCAATCCTCAAATACTCTCTGCTTTATTCAGAAGAATGCTGCACTCGCAGAGCTCAGGCGGTGTTGCATTTCAGTCTCAGTGTTGACATCTGTAGACAGTCTACATTTCGCAGGCATATAGCAGGGTTGGGAGGACAATAACTTTATAAACAAGCCCCTTGGTCTCCCTACGGATGTCCCGGTCCTCAAACACTCTCTGCGTCATTCAGAAGAATGCTGCACTCGCAGAGCTCAGCAGGTGTTGAATTTCAGTCTCGATGTTGACTTTGAAAACACTTCCAAAAACAATAACAAGTTATTTCTTGCTTTCCAGAGGAGTGAGGAAGCGTTGCGCCGCCATGCCTTCGGAGCAGGGCCCTCCGTCCCAGGGGCCTCCATCCAAACCAGCCAAGGAGAGAAGCAACCATGCGGCCGCCGCCGTGGGGCTCCCAAAGGCATCTGGACGGGCCCCCGAAGGGCCCGGGGCCCCTTTCATTGCCAAGGCGGCTCAAGGGAGGAAGGGCGCCACTGCGGCCAGAGGCAACGGCAGCGAAGCGGAGAAGGACTCCGGCTTTTCAGGTAGAAGAGAAGGAACTTTTATTGCCATTGCGTGTCCTCAATACATGTCATTATATATGTAGAATTGCAAAGCACCTGCACTTCCACATTCTAATCATTATTGCACAGCTCCTCATGCCAATGCATTGGTGAACAGATGGGTAAATGCAGAACAATAAATGATAACTGATAGAGGAAGACACAGGTGAAGAGAGAGATGTATTGATGGATGGATGGATGGATGGACGGACGGACGGATGGACGGACGGACGGACGGACAGGCGGGCGGGTGGAGAGGTGGAGAGGTGGATTGGTGACTGGATGGATGGATGGATGGATGGATGGATGGATGGATAGATAGATAGATAGATAGATAGATAGATAGATAGATAGATAGATGGCAATCCATGGTTCTAAATGGTTCTAAAGTACTTACAAAACGAAAGTTCTGGTGGTGAAAATTTCAGAACACTAACAAAACTTTCAAAATGTAATTATTATTTCATTATTGGCGATTTTTATGACAGAACCAATTAAAGAACTGCCATTTATAATGACATTTTGAGAGGTTTTTTTAGAGTTTTGAAATTTTCACCACCAGTAGTTTTGTAAGTACTTTAGAACCATTTAGAACCATGGATTGCCCAGGCCTAATAGATAGATAGATAGATAGATAGATAGATAGATAGATAGATAGATAGATAGATAGATAGATACAGGTGAATAGAAATGTATTGATGAATAGATAGATGGATGGATGGATGGATGGATGGATGGATGGATGGATGGATGGATGGATGGATAGATAGAGAAATAGAGAAAGACACAGGTGAATAGAGAGATGTATGTATGGATGGATGGATGGATGCATGGATGGATGCATGGATGGATGGATAGAGAGATAGAGAAAGACACAGGTGAATAGAGAGATGAATGTATGTATGTATGTATATGGATGGATGGGTGGAGAGGTGGATTGGTGAATGGATGGATGGATGGATAGAGATAGAGATACAGGTGAATAGAAATGTATTGATGAATAGATAGATGGATGGGTGGATGGATAGATAGATAGAGAAAGACACAGGTGAATAGATACAGAGATAGAGAAAGAGAGAAATTTATTGGTGGATTGATGGGTGGATGGATGGACAGACAGACAGAGAAAGACACAGATGAATAGAGAGATTGAGATGGGTGGGTGGGTGGAGAGGTGGATTGGTGAATGGATGGATGGATGGATGGATGGATAGATAGAGTAAGACATAGGTGAATAGATACAGAGATAAAGAAAGAGAGAAATGTATTGGTGGATGGATGGATGGATGGATGGATGGATGGATGGATGGATAGATAGATAGATAGATAGATAGATAGATAGACAGATAGATAGACAGACAGATAGACAGACAGACAGACAGACAGACAGATAGATAGATAGATAGATAGATAGATAGATAGATAGACAGAGATAGAGATACAGGTGAGTAGAAATGCATTGATGAATAGATAGATGGATGGGTGGATGGATAGATAGAGTAAGACATAGGTGAATAGATACAGAGATAAAGAAAGAGAGAAATGTATTGGTGGGTGGATGGATGGATGGATGGATGGATAGATAGACAGATAGACAGATAGACAGATAGACAGATAGACAGATAGACAGATAGACAGATAGATAGATAGATAGATAGATAGATAGATAGATAGATAGATAGATAGATAGATAGATAGATAGAGAAAGACAGGAGAATAGATACAGAGAAAGAGAGAGAAATGTATTGGTGGATGGAGAGATAGAGATACAGGTGAATAGAAATGTATTGATGAATAGATAGATGGGTGGATGGGTGGGTGGATGGATGGATAGATAGATAGATAGATAGATAGATAGATAGAGAAAGAGACAGGTGAATAGAGAGAGGGCTAGAGAAAGAGAAATGTATTGATGAGTGGATAGATGGATGGATGGATAAATAGAGAAAGACACAGGTGAATACATACAGAGATAGAGAAAGAGAGAATGTATTGGTGGCTGGATAGAGAGATAGAGATACAGGTGAATAGAAATGTATTGATGAATAGATGGATGGATGGATGGGTGGGTGGGTGGGTGGATGGATAGATAGATAGATAGATAGATAGATAGATAGATAGATAGATAGATAGACAGACAGACAGACAGACAGACAGACAGACAGACAGACAGACAGACAGACAGATAGATAGAGAAAGACAGGAGAATAGATACAGAGAAAGAGAAAGAGAGAAATGTATTGGTGGATGGAGAGATAGAGATACAGGTGAATAGAAATGTATTGATGAATAGATAGATGGGTGGATGGATGGGTGGGTGGATGGATGGATGGATAGATAGATAGATAGATAGATAGATAGATAGATAGATAGATAGATAGAGAAAGAGACAGGTGAATAGAGAGGGGGCTAGAGAAAGAGAAATGTATTGATGAGTGGATAGATGGATGGATAGATAAATAGAGAAAGACACAGGTGAATACATACAGAGATAGAGAAAGAGAGAATGTATTGGTGGCTGGATAGAGAGATAGAGATACAGGTGAATAGAAATGTATTGATGAATAGATGGATGGATGGATGGATGGATGGATGGATGGATGGATGGATAGATAGATAGATAGATAGATAGATAGATAGATAGATAGGTAGATAGATAGAGAAAGAGGTAAATAGAGAGAGGGCTAGGAAAGAGAAATGTATTGATGAATGGATAGATAGATAGATAGATAGATAGATAGATAGATAGATAGATAGATAGATAGATACACAGGTGAATAGATACAGAGATAGAGGAATGTATTGGTGGATGGATGGATAAATGATCAGATAGATGCACTGGTAGATCAGTAGATAGATAATAGAGAAAGACAAGTGACTAGATAAAGAGAGAAATGTCTGGGTGAATAGATGAATGGAGAGGTGGATCAATAAGCAGATGATAGAAAGACTATAAGTGGAGAGCTAGAGAGACGGAGAAAGAGAGAAATGTCTTCTGAGTTTCCTTACGGCAGTGGGAATTATTGTCAAGTTCTTCCAAAGAGGGGAGAGAGAGGGCAAGGAGGCATTCTCTGCGCAGGAGTGTGCAATTAGCAAACGGTGCCGTTAGCAAACCATACGCAACAGATGCACGAGTTTTCCCACTGTAACCGGCTGCCTCCTCTCCTCTCCATTGCCTCCTATGCGCAGACGTAAGCTCAGAGTACCTGAGTGCCGTGGACGCGACCGATACGGAGGATCCGTCGCTGTTGTCGTCATCGTCGTCATCTCCGAAGGCGCTGGCGAAGGGACCCTTCCCCGGAATGGCCCCCGTTTACATTGTCAAAAACGTCATCCTCAAACAGGTAGCTTTTGATGTATTGTCGAAGGCTTTCATGGCCGGAATCACTGGGTTGTTGTAGGTTTTTTTGGGCTATATGGCCATATTCTAGAGACATTTTCTCCTGACGTTTCGCCTGCATCTATGGCAAGCATCCTCAGAGGTAGTGAGATCTGTTGGAACTAGGAATGACCAGGGTGGGACAAAGGACTCTTGTCTGCTGGAGCTAGGTGCAAATGTTTCAACTGACCACCTTGATTTGCATTTGATGGCCTGGCAGTGCCTGGGGCAATCTTTTGTTGAGAGGTGATTAGATGTCCAAGATTGTTTCCTCTCTGTTGTTGTGTTGTTGTAATTTTTGAGTTTTTTTAATACTGGTAGCCAGATTTTGCTCATTTTCATGGTTTCCTCCTTTCTGTTGAAATTGTCCACAGTTTGTTTGTTTATTTATTTACTGTATTTGTATACCGCCTTTCTCAGCCTATCGGCGACTCAAGGCGGTTTCCAACAAAACAGTATACATAGTATCATAAAACAATTTAAAACATTACAATTACATAAACCACAACGCCAATAAAAACAACATCATTGGCGTCTCCTTATTGTCAAGCATTGTCCAATTCCATCGTCAATTTCCTATGTCATTTATGCATATCTGTTACTCTGTGTTTGTGAACGCTTGCTCAAACAGCCACGTTTTGACTTGCTTCCGAAACGTTAAGAGGGAGGGACAGATCTAATCTCTCTAGGGAGGGCGTTCCATAGCCGGGGGGCCACATTCACACCTAGCTCCAGCAGACAAGAGTCCTTTGTCCCACCCCGGTCATTCCACAGGTATATAAACCCATTTTCCTAGTTCCACCAGATCTCACAACGTCTGAGGATGCTTGCCAGAGATGCAGGCGAAACGTCAGGAGAAAATGGCTCTAGAACAGTGGTTCTCAACCTGGGGGTCACGACCCCCAGGGGGGTCGCCTGGCCATTTTGAAGGGGTCACGAGGCCACCTCCATTGGCCCCGCCCCAAGGGCGTGGGCCAGGTGAGGGCTCCTTCACGCAAGGCCTGGCCTGGTGCAAAGCCCGCCTCACACTCTAGTCATCCTCCGCACGAGGCCTGGCCTCGTGCAAATCCTGCCTCGCTTGCCTCGTGCTCTCGCCATCCAAGGCAGGCAAGGTTGGGGGTCACCACAACATGGTTGGGGGTCACCACAACATGAGGAACCATATTTAGGCGTCCCAGTGTTAGAAAGGTTGAGAACCTTGCTCTAGAACATGGCCATACAGTCCAAAAAAAACCTACAGCAACCCAAGTAGCCTTTGTCTTGTCCTTTGTCCATCCACCTGACCCCCCAAGGCTTGGGGTGTTAATTGCCAATGCCTGATTAACTCTTCTAAACCCAGCCAAACAGGTAGGGAGTAAACCCTCTGGAGCCAATGGATCTCCTCGAGTGTTGGCAGTTTCCCTCTTAAGCCAGGCATGGGCAAATCTTGGCTGGTAGGCTGTTAGGAATCATGGGAATTGAAGTCCAAAACACCTGGAGGGAGGACCGAAGTTGGCCCATTCCCATACGAGGAATACTCCAATACCTGTCAAATAGTTTATCAAACTACCCAAGACTATGACAAAAAGATACAGGCACAGGATGCGCAGTAGGAATGTGCATTTTTTTCGTTAGTCATCGTAAGTCGTATCAAATTCGGACTTACGAGGCGATATCCGACATGTAGGCATGGCCCGCGCCAAAAACTTAAGAATTTAAACTTACCCTATTCTTTCCTGTTTGAATTTTGTAAACATTGGAAGCCTCCCAAAGTCAGTTTCATGTTCAGCTCAAGGAAGCAAAGCCAAGCCAAAAAGGCTGTTTAAAACAGCAGGGAGAAGGCAGAGTTTGCTGGGAAAGAGACTGAGAGCGCACAGGATTCTGGGAAATAGAGTTTGGGGCAGGGCCTTTTGCATTCTCTGCCTTCCCAAACTACATTTCCCAGAATGCTCTGCTTTCTCGGACTCTTTCCCAGCGAACTCTGCTTTCCCTCTGTTGCTTTAAACAGCCTTTTTGACTTTGCTTTGCTTCCTTGCGTTGAACATGAAACTGACTTTGGGAAGCCTGCTGCTTCCCTCTCCTAATGGCAAGATACCATTGACTGAAAGAGGAAAGGCAGCCTTTTTGGATTTGCTTTGCTTCCTTGCTCTGAAAATGACCTCCAAAGTTTACAAAATTCCAACAAAACGTACTGGTCAAGTGTCTATTCTTAAGTTTTTGCCACGGGTCATGCCTGGGCATTGGATATCACCTTGTAAGTATGAATTTAACAAATTTGATCCAACTTACGAGAACTAATTTTGCACAGTCCTAATCTGTGCTCGTGTCATGTTGCCAGGGCTCTGCCTTATTTAGTAGAGATGAATCAAACTCCCAGTTTTATCAAAGAGTTTAATTAAAACAGTATTTACTTGCTGGCTGTTTTAATAGACCAAAATATAAAACACAAAGATAGCACGCAGCTACAGAATAAACAAAAACGGATAGCAAAAATAACTTCATAGTCAAGAGGTCCAGTCCAGTGGTCAAATGCCGAGAGTTCAATAACAGAGTCCAGGGATCAAGAGTCCATATCGTAGTCCAAGGCCAGTCCAAGGTTTAAGGGTTCCAGGGTTCCAAGATTACAGGAGACAGGTCAGGATACCGAAAAATCCAACAGATCTGGGGGGAAAACCAGCAGCATCCACCACCAAAATATTAGTTTTGTTGCTACTTCATAATTGTCATATTGCTGCTGTTATGAATAGTAATGTAAATATCTGGTATGCAGGATGTATTTCCATTCACTGGAACAAACTGGGCACTAATACCTGATACGCCCAAATTTGAATACTGATTGGGTTGAGGGAGGGGATTAATTTTGTCATTTGGGAGTTGTAGTTGCTGAGATTTATAGTTCAGCTACAATCAAAGCGCATTCTGAACTCCACCAATGATGGAATTGAACCAAACTTGGCACACAGAACTCCCACGACCATCAGAAAATACTGGAAGGGTTTGGTGGGCATTGACCTTGGGTTTGGGAGTTGTAGTTCACCTATATCCAGAGAGCACTGTGGAAAACAATGATGGATCTGGACCAAACTTGACACACTACTCCATATGCTCAAATGTGAGCCCTGGTGGAGTTTGGGCAAAACAGACCTTGACATTTGGGAGTTGTAGTTATTGGGATTTATAGTTCACCTACAATCAAAGAGCACTCTTAACTCTATCAACGATGGAATTGAACCAAACTTGGCAGACAGATTGGAAAGGTTTGGTGGGTATTGACCTTGAGTTTGGGAGTTATAGTTCACCTACAATCAAAGAGCACTCTGAACTCTACCAACTATGGAATTGAACCAAACTTGGCAGACAGATTGGAAGGGTTTGGTGGGTATTGACCTTGAGTTTGGGAGTTGTAGTTCACCTACATCCAGGAAGCACTGTGGACTCAAACAATGATGGATCTGGACCAAACTTGACACAAATACTCAACATGCCCAAATGTGAACACTGGTGGAGTTTTGGGGGGAAATAGACCTTGACATTTGGGAGTTGTAGTTGCTGGGATTTATTGTTTGCCTACAATCAAAGAGCATTCTGAACCCTACCAATGATTGAATTGGGACAAACATTCCACACAGAACCCCCATGATCAACAGAAAATACTGTGTTTCCTGATGGTCTTTGGCGACCCCTCTGACACCCCCCTTGCGACCCCTCCAGGGGTCCCGACCCCCAGGTTGAGAAACACTGAGCTATAGAGAACCACATAGTCAGAGGGTCCAGTCCAATGCCGAGAGTTCAATAACAGAGTCCAGGGATCAAGAGTCTATATCGTAGTCCAAAGCCAGTCCAAAGGTTCAAGGTTCCAGGGTTCCAAAATTACAGGAGGCAGGTCAGGATACCGAAAAATCCAACAGACCTGGGGGAAAAACCAGCAGCATCCACCACCAAAATGCAACAGATACTTTCTCCCAAAGATAAGTTTCAAGGTTAGCTCCTTAAATCCAGTAACACCCAGCTGCAACCCATTTCCTGCACACCTCCACCCCTAATTGCTTTCACCCATGAACTCCTACTTACAGATTACCAAACCCACTAGGACTAACACTCACATTAACCCTTCCATCACCAACCACCATCAACTGCAGAACATATGACAGCTCGCCTCAAATGAGAAGGCACTGAGTTCTGCTTTGCCGTAATTTGGCAGCTTTGTTTACATTTTGGGGTACATTGTCTTCCAGGGTCATTTGGGTTGGGTTGCCTCAAATGTATTTATTTATTTATTTCGGTTTCTTCTACCCCGCCCTTCTCACCCGGGGGGGGGGGGGGGGGGGACTCAGGGCGGCTTACAAAAGTGAGGCACAATTCGATGCCCGCATCACATAACAGCAAAAGACAATAACATCATTTAACAACAGCAATTCTCTCAATAACAACAATTACCATAAAGACAATTATTATTATGGGTAAAAACAACCATAAAACCAATAAAAGCAATAAAACTCCATACAAACCTCCTTGACGGTCAGCGTTTCACAGTCTCATAATTTAAATTCCAATTCCACAATTGTCAGTCCTTTCAGTCCTATCCATCTGGTTTCCATATCTAATTGTCAGGTTGCCCAAAGGCCTGGTCCCACAACCACGTCTTTACCTTCCTCCTGAAGGTGAGGAGGGATGTTGATGCCCTGATTTCCCCCGGGAGTGAGTTCCACAAGTGAGGGGCCACCACCGAGAAGGCCCTGCTCCTCGTCCCCACCAGCCTCGCTTGTGATAGTGGTGGAGTCGAGAGCAGGGTCTCCCCGGATGATCTCAAATTCCGGGGTGGGACGTAGAGGGAGATACGTTCGGACAGATACACTGGACCGAAACCGTAAAGGGTTTTGTAGGTCAAAACCAGCACCGTGAATTGTGCTCGGAATTGAACCGGCAGCCAGTGGAGCTGACACAGCGGGGGGTGGGGGTGGGGGGGGTGGTGTGTTCCCTGTATGTCGCCCCGGTGAGCAATCTGGCTGCCGCTCGCTGGACCAATTGACGTTTCCGAGCAGTCTTCAAGGGCAACCCCACGTAGAGTGCGTTGCAGTAGTCTAAACAGGATGTAACAAGAGCGTGGACCACTGTGGCCAGATCAGACTTCCCAAGGTACGGGGAAGATGTTGAGTACATGTATTCTGCTGTTGTCGTTTCGCTGAAGATGTTGAGTACATGTGTTCTGCTGTTGTCGTTTCGCTGAAGATGTTGAGTACATGTATTCTGCTGTTGTCGTTTCGCTGAAGATGTTGAGTACATGTATTCTGCTGTTGTCGTTTCGCTGAAGATGTTGAGTACATGTATTCTGCTGTTGTCGTTTCGCTGAAGATGTTGAGTACATGTATTCTGCTGTTGTCGTTTCGCTGAAGATGTTGAGTACATGTATTCTGCTGTTGTCGTTTCGCTGACCCCAGACTCTTTTCTCCCTGCAGCAACTGGATTCCTCCTCGCCGGGCTCCCCGTTTTTGACTTGGAGCGGTCAGCACCCGATGGACGCCTCCATGAGTTCGGCCGCCCACATCCTGCTCATCCAGCCTCCGGTGTCGTCCTCCTTGAAGCCCCTTTTGTCCGGCCCGAAGCCCGCTTCCTCCAAGGAGGCCTACCTGCCCATCCTCAGCGCCTTCCCCAAGATCGCTCCCCATCCAGGACCGGACGGGGCCAAGAAGAACAAGCGCTTCTGCCTGGAGGATTCCTGGACCTCGTCGTCCGTGGCGAAGGATGGGGAGCAGACGCCTCCGGAGACCCACAACGCCGTGAGCTCCTCCACCGGCTCAGACAGCAAAGCCGAAGGACGGATGATCTCCCGGGCTTCCAAGAAGTTGGGCTCGAGCAGCGCCGGGAAGCAGCGCCGCTTCCACAACACGGTGGAGATCCTCCGCAAATCGGGGCTGCTGGGCATCACGCTGCGGACGAAGGAGCTGATCCGGCAAAACAACGCCACTCAGAGGGAGCTGGCCGAGCTACGGGAGCAAGCCCAGCTCCTCTGCGAGGCCGTCCAGAGCAACGAGGCCGGGGCTTGGACGCGGCTGCAGGAAGCCATGGACCGCTCGGCCGCTTATTGGGCCAAAAAAGGCAACGGCAATGCCAACACGAGACAAAGCAAAGAGTCCGAAGCGCAGGGCTCCGATCCCAATCCGGACGCGGCCTCGACACCGGCGGACTCGCCCATGAACCTGACTCTCACGCCGGACATTTCGGCGCCTTTGCCTTGACCCCTGCTGTTGCTTCCTCTCCGGACGAGGGGAACGTTACATCACCGATTCCTCGAGATTGAGAAAATGGTCTCTGTGATCATTGCGGCGGCAACGACCACCCTTTGCCCCTCTTTCTGGGCAAGGCTTTGACTGCTGGGTGCCGTCTTAGTTGCAGATGACCGCCGTTAAAGGGTCGCCTCCAAACGAGAGGAGTCAATGATTCCTTGATGATTAAGATAAGAGCGTCACGGCACCGATTCCTCGAGATTGAGAGTGTGTGATCATTGCAGACATTGACCGCTGGGTGCCAGGTGACCGCCATTAAAGGATCGCCTCCAAACGAGAGGGGTCACTGACTCCTCGATGATTAAGATAAGAGCGTCAAGGCACCAATTCCTTGAGATGGAGAGAATGGTTTCTGTGGCTCAGATGCAAAGACCAATCCTTGACCCTCTTTCTGGGCAGGACTTTGACCGCTGGGTGCCGTCTTAGCTGCAGATGACCGCCATTAGTCTCCAAACAACAGGAGTGTTAGGTCACCGATTCCTCGAGATCGAGAGGATAGTTTCCATGGTCATTGCAGCAACAAGACTTTGACCGCTGGGTGCCAGGTGACCACCATTAAAGGATAGTCTCCAAATGAGTCTATGAGCATCAAGGCATGGATTATTGATTTTTGTGGTTGTCACAGCAGAAATAGACCACCTCTTGCCCCTCTTTATGGGCAAGGCTTTGACCGCTGGGTGCCAGGTGACCATCACTGAAGAACAGTCTCCAAACTAGATGAGTCACCTGATTCCTTGATGATTATGATAAGAGCATCACATCACCGATTCCTCGAGATTGAGATAATAGTTTTCATGATTATTGCAGCGGCCCTTTATGGGCAGGACTTTGACCGCTGGGTACAAGATGACCGCTGTTAAAAATGTTGCACTCCAGACCAGGAAAATCCCCTCTAACTTTAAACACCACACAGTTGAGTAGAAATGCAATCCTTTTATTGAAGATAATTAAAAAGCAGTAAAAGTAAAAAGCACTTTAAAGGAATAGGTAAATCCAATTAGGTAGGAAGATAAGCTGGAACAAAATAGACCAGGGAATTAGTCCTTCAAAGTTCTTGATGATTATGATAAGAGCATCACGTCACCGATTCCTCGAGATTGAGAGAATAGTTTCCATGATCATTGCAGCTGCCCTTTATGGGCAGGACTTTGACCACTGGTACCAGATGACCGCTGTTGAAGTGTTGCACTCCAGACCAGGAAAAGCCCCTCTGACTTTAAACACCACACAGTTGAGTAGAAATGCAACCCGTTTATTGAAGACAATTAAAAAGCAGTAAAAGTAAAAAAGCACTTTAAAGGAATAGGTAAATCCAATTAGGTAGGAAGATAAGTCAGAACAAAATAGTCCAGGGAATTAGTCCATCAAAGTTCTTGATTATTATGATAAGAGCATCACATCATCGTACCAGATGACCGCTGTTAAATTGTTGCACTCCAGACCAGGAAAATCCCCTCTAACTTTAAACACCACACAGTTGAGTAGAAATGCAACCCGTTTATTGAAGATAATTAAAAAGCAGTAAAAGTAAAAAGCACTTTAAAGGAATAGGTAAATCCAATTAGGTAGGAAGATAAGTCAGAACAAAATAGTCCAGGGAATCAGTCCATTAAAATTCATGAAAAACAAAGGCAGAAACTTCTATAGTAAAATCCAAAAAACTGGAAACACGAATCCAAGGCACTTAAAAACATAATCATAAAAACCAAGAATTAAAACCATGAATCTAAAGCACTTAAACATGAATCTTTCTAAAGCAAGGTTTCCAATGAACAGGGACGAGATCTTGACTTGATTCCAAACAGTGCTTCATCTGACTACAGATCCTGTACTTGGGACTTTTATCTCCTCGTAAAGCTGTGTCCCAAGCGGCTAGAAATTGGTTTCGCTTTAGCCTTGAATCTCTTATCATTACTTCTCTGAGCCTGGCAGAATGCCTGAGCCACTGATCTGCTTTCCTGTTTTGACTAATAACATCCTGTCTATCTATTTGCTCATTAACTTCTGCAGATGGGCCAGGTGCCAGGCTGTTCTCAAGCTCCAAATCATGGGAATTCTCTGGGAACAATTCAGGGAGCACACCATCATCCCCACACCCACCAGGGACATTCTCATGAGAAAATACACTTTGAACATGGGTCTCCTGGTCATTCTTTGCATCAGTATCATTAGAAACACCATTACCTTCATGAAGCTCATTGTCATCATTCCCTACATCCAAAGCACCCTGATCCTTAAACACAACAACAGGCTGAGCTCCGACATAAAGGATAGTCTCCAAATGAGAGGAATCACCGATTCCTTGATGATTAAGAGTTTTTCCTCGTTCTGTCTGTGAACGCACATGTAGGTTTTAACCATGCACAGCAATTTGGAACATTCTAGCTCTTAATAGAGTTTTAGGTGATGCCCCGCCCATCCTCCCAATGATATATATAAGCCCATGGGCGGGGCTATGCCTTAGTTCCTTTTTCCGCACCAGCAGCAGCACAGGAATTTTGCTCTCCCTCGTTCGCACCGATTCTTGGTTTCTGTGGTCATTGCAGCAGAGAAGACCCTCCCCCTCCTTGCCCCTCTTTATGGGCAAGACTTGACTTCTTGGTGCAATCTGAGATGCAGATGACCGCCATTAAAGGATAGTCTCCAAACGAGCAGAGTCACCAATTCCTCAAGGATTAAGATAAGAGCGTCAAGTTATTGCTTCTTGGTTCCTGCGATCATTGCATCAGGAAAAACCACCCCTTGCCCCTCTTTATGGGCAAGACTTGACCGCTGGGTACCATTCGAGCTGCAGATGACCACCATTAAAAGATAGTCTGTAAACAAAAGGAGTCATGGATTCCTCAATGATTAAGATTAGAGCGTCACGGCACCAATTCCTTGAGATTGAGGGAATGGTTTCTGTGGTCATTGCAGCTGCTTACCTCTCTTATTGACCTCTGGGTGCAATTTGAGCTGCAGATGACCACCATTAAAGGATAGTCTGTAAACGAGAGGAGTCACGGATTCCTTGATGATTAAGATAATATTCATTTACATCGAGAGAATGGTTTCTGCCCATCAAGAGAGGCTTTGACCACTGGGTTCCATTTGATAAGCAAGTCTTGACCGCTGGGTACAATTCAAGCTGCAGATGACCACCAATAAAGGATAGTCTCTAAACGAGAGGTGTCACTGATTCTTTGATGATTAAGATAAGATTCATTGACATTGGGAGAATGGTTTCTGCCCATAAAGAGAGGCTTTGACCACTGGGTACCATTTTATGAGCAAGTCTTCACCGCTGGGTGGAATTTGAACTCCAGATGACATTAGTCTCCAAGCAGCAGGAGTGTCCGGTCACCGATTCCTCGAGATTGAGAGAATAATTTCCATGATCATTGCACCGGCCCTTTGTGGGCAAGACTTGACCGCTGGATGGAATTTGAGCTGCAGATGACCACCATTAAAGGATAGTCTCTAAATGAGAGGAGTCACCGATTCCTCGATGATTAAGATAAGACTCATTGACATCGAGAGAGGCACCAATTCCTTGAGATTGAGATAATGGTTTCTGTGGTCATCGCAGTGGCAAAGATAACTTCTTGCCCCTCTTTCTGGGCAAGACTTTGACCACTGGGTACTGTCTTAGCTCCAGATGACCGCCATTAGTCTCCAAATAACAGGAGTGTCAGGTCACTGATTCCTTGAGAGAGAATAGTTTCCGTGGTCATTGCAGCGGCAAAACTTTGACCGCTGTGTGCCAAGTGACCACCATTAAAAAATAGTCTCCAAATGAGAGGCGTTACCGATTCCTTGATGATTAAGATAAGTGCATCAAGGCATGGATTATTGATTTCTGTCATCCTCACAGCAGAAAAGACCACCTCTTGCCCCTCTTTATAGGCAAGGCTTTGACCGCTGCGTGCCAGGTGACCGCCACTGAAGAATAGTCTCCAAACCAGAGGAGTCACCCAATTCCTTGATGATTATGATAAGAGCACCACGTTACCGATTCCTCAAGATTGAGAGAATAGTTTCCATGATCATTGCAGCTGCCCTTTATGGGCAGGACTTTGACCGCTGGGTACCAGATGACCGCTGTTAAAGTGTTGCACTCCAGACCAGGAAAAGCCCCTCTGACTTTAAACACCACACAGTTGAGTAGAAATGCAGTCCGTTTATTGAAGATAATTAAAAAGCAGTAAAAGTAAAAAGCACTTTAAAGGAATAGGTAAATCCAATTAGGTAGGAAGATAAGCCAGAACGAAATACACTAGGGAATTAGTCCATCAGAATTCTTGATAATTATGATAAGAGCATCACATCACCGATTCCTCGAGATTGAGAGAATAGTTTCCATGATCATTGCAGCGGCCTTTTATGGGCAGGACTTTGACCGCTGGGTACCAGATGACCGCTGTTAAAGTGTTGCACTCCAGATCAGGAAAATCCCCTCTAACTTTAAACACCACACAGTTGAGTAGAAATGCAATCCATTTATTGAAGATAATTAAAAAGCAGTAAAAGTAAAAAGCGCTTTAAAGGAATAGGTAAATCCAATTAGGTAGGAAGATAAGTTGAGTCACTGATTCTTGTTTTTTGTGGTCATTGCATCAAGAAGTAACATTCTTTGCCTCTCTTTATGGGCAAGACTTTGACCACTAGGTGCCATCTTAAACTGCAGATGACCACCGTTAAGGGATAGTCTCCAAATTAGTAGAGTCTCCAATTCCTCGGTGATTAAGATAAGAGTGTCAAGGCATTGATTCCCGTTTCCTGTGGTCATTGCATCAGGAAGGACCACCCCTTTCTCCTCTCTATGTGCAAGACTTTGACCACTGGTTGCCATCATAAGCTGTGGATGACCACCATTCACTGGTCACTTCCTCTCATATCATACTCTGGGCTAAAGGATATTGTCCAAACAAGAGTGACCGTTGGGTCATCGATTCCTCAAGATGGTCAAACCACTGATTCCTTGGTGGTTCTGGGTTTTTGTGGCCATTCGGTCAGCAAAGGTCATTGCCTTGTCTCCCTTTATGTATGGACAAGAGCTTGACCATCTTAAGCTGTGGACAACCACCGTTCACTGGTCAGCGAACTCCAGCATTTGGGACGGAGAATCGAGGTGAGAATATCAAGCCATCCTTGGTGTCTGCAGCCGTTGCAGTGGAGATGACCACTCCTTTGTCCCTTTTATGGCCATTAGGTGTCATCAGAGCTGCAGATGACCACCACCAAAAGATATTCCCGAAATAAGAGAAAGTTGGGTTACCAATTCTTTAGCGATTGAGAGTATCGTCTCTTCTTGGTTTCTGTGGTCATTGCTTTGACTAACCACTTCATCACATTGAAGCAGGGAAGTGTTTGGTAGAGTATGTTTATCGTAATGCTCAGTAGTCATGGACCCGAAATGTGTCCCATTCGTTTTGATTCATGTTTCAGTTTTGTTCCATCCATTTGGATGGCACGAAACGGAAAGGCCCCTCCTGGAACGAAAATGCAATCGAAACGAAAGGCAGGCGGGAGCAGGTCCCAACTCGAAGCCTGCTTTTTTGGATCATAGTGCTCAGTAGTCATGGGCCCAAAATTTGTCCTTTTCGTTTTGATTCATGTTTCTGTTTCGTTCCATCCATTCGGATGGCATGAAATGGAAAGGCCCCTCCTGGAATGAAAATGGAATTGAAACGAAAGGCAGACAGGAGTGGGTACCAGCTCGAAGCCTGCTTTTCGGATCGTAGTGCTCAGTAATCATGGGTCCAAAATTTTTCCCATTTGTTTTGATTCGTGTTTCTGTTTTGTTCCGTCCATTTGGATGGCACAAAACAGAAAGGCCCCTCCTGGGACGAAAATGCAATCAAAACGAAAGGCAGGTGGGAGCGGGTACCAGTTCGAAGCCTGCTTTTAGGATCGTAGTGGCTTTCCAGTTCTGAAGTGTAGAACTCAGTGGAATTTAGTAAATGTGATGAAGTGGTCAGACCGCTCCTTTGTCCATTTATGGGCAAGGACCTTGACCTGTGGGCGCCATCCGAAGCTCCAAATGACCGCCACTCACTGGTCAGTGGACCTCCGCATTGGAAAACCGAGTTTTGCACTATGAAGGGCAGTGATTCAAGGATGAATAAAGTGTGAAAAGCATGGAAAGATATTTGGGTGGAAACGGCTTTGACCTTACAAGGGTGACCTGGGTGGGATTTGAACCTGAGTTTAGTGAAAACGAATGCATTAAACTCTTTGTTTGTATCCATTTCTATTTCTTTTTTTAAAATAAATACTTTTTTTTTCAAAATCCACATTTAAAAGTTTGCATTTCATAGAATCCTAGAGTTGGGAGAGACCTCTTGGGCCATCATCCAGTCCAACCCCATTCTGCCAAGAAGCAGGAATATTGCATTCAAATCACCCCCGACAGATGGCCATCCAGCCTCTGTTTCAAAGCTTCCAAAGAAGGAGCCTCCACCACACTCCGGGGCAGAGAGTTCCACTGCTGAACGGCTCTCACAGTCAGGAAGTTCTTCCTCATGTTCAGATGGAATCTCCTCTCTTGTAGTTTGAAGCCATTGTTCCATTGCGTCCTAGTCCAAGGAAGCAGAAAACAAGCTTGCTCCCTCCTCCCCTGTGGCTTCCTCTCACATATTTATACATGGCTATCATATCTCCTCTCAGCCTTCTCTTCTTCAGGCTAAACATGCCCAGCTCCTTAAGCCGCTCCTCACAGGGCTTGTTCTCCAGACCCTTGATCATTTTAGTCGCCCTCCTCTGGACACATTCCAGCTTGTCAATATCTCTCTTGAATTGTGGTGCCCAGAATTGGACACAATATTCCAGGTGTGGTCTAACCAAAGCAGAATAGAGCATAGGGAGCAGGGGGAAGGAAGGAAAGAGGAGAGGGAAAAGAAGGAAGGAGAAGAAGGAAAGAAAAAGGGGAAGGAAAGGAGGAGTGAAGGAAGGAGGGAAAGAAGGAGGAAAAAGAGGAGGGAAGGAAAAGAGAAGGAAGGATGGAAGCAAAAAAAGGAAGGAAGGAGGAAGGAAGAAAGAGGAAAAGAGGGAAGGAAAAGAAAAAGGGAAGGAAAAGGTAGAGAAGGAAAGGAAGGAGAGAAGGAAAGAAAAAAGGGAAGGAAGGAAAGGGAGCGAAAGAAGGAGGGAAAGAAGGAGAAAGAGGGAAGGAAAGAAAAGGAAGAATGGAAGCAAAGGAAAGAAGGAAAGGTAGAGAAAGAAGAAAGGAGAGAAAGTGGAAGGAAAAGAAAAAGGAATGGAAGAAAGAGAAGGAAGGAAGGAGGGAAGGAGAGAAGGAAAAAAAAGGAAGGATGGAAGGAGAGAGTGAAGGAAGGAGGGAAAGGAGAAAAAGGGGGGAAAGAAAGGGAAGGATGGAAGCAAAAAGTGAAGGAAGGAAAGAAGAAAGGAGAGAAAGAGGAAGGAAAAGAAGGGGAATGGAAGAAAGGTAGAGAAGGAAAGAAAAAAGGGAAGGATGGAAGGAATGAAGGAAGGAGGGAAAGAAGGAGAAAAAGGGAGGAAAGGTAAGAGAAGGAAGGATGGAAGCAAAAAGTGAAGGAAGGAAAGAAAGAAGAAAGAGAAAGAGGAAGGAAAAGAAAGGGGGGATGGAAGAAAGGTAGAGAAGGAAGGAGAGAAGGAAAGAAAAGGAAGGAAGGAAAGGGAGCGAAGGAAGGAGGGAAAGGAGAAAAAAGAGGGAGGGAAGGAAAGGAGGAAAGAGAAGGAAGAATGGAAGCAAATGAAGGAAGGAAAGAGGTAGAGAAAGAAGAAAGGCGAGAAAGTGGAAGGAAAAGAAAAGGAATGGAAGGAAGAAGTAGAGAAGGAAGGAAAGAAAAAAGGGAAGGATTGAAGAAGGGTGTGAAGGAAGGAGGGAAAGAAGGAGAAAAAGGGAGGGAAGGAAATAGAGAAGGAAAGATAGAAGCAAAAAGCGAAGGAAGGAAGGAAAGAGGTAGAGAAGAAAGGAGATAAAGAGGGAAGGAAAGACAGAAGGATGGAAGCAAAAAGCGAAGGAAAGAAAGAGGTAGAGAAAGAAGAGAGAAAGGGATGGAAGGGTGGAAGCAAAAAGCGAAGGAAGGAAGGAAAGGTAGAGAAAAAGAAGAAAGGAGAGGAAGAAGAGGGAAGGAAAGGACAGATGGAAGCAAAAAGCAAAGGAAGGAAAGAGAAGGGAAGAAGAGAGAGAGGGAGGAGAAGGAAAGACAGAAGGATGGAAGCAAAAAGTGAAGGAAAGAAAGCTAGAGAAGGAAGAATGGAGAGAAAGAGGGAAGGAAAAGAAAAAGGGGAGAAGGAAAGAAAGAGGTAGAGAAGGAAGGAAGGAGAGAAGGAAAGAAAAAAAGGAAAGGAAGGAAGGAGGGAGTGAAGGAAGAAGGGAAAGCAGGAGAGAACGAGGGAGGGAAGGTTGGCCACAGCAAAGCGTGGCGGGTACAGCTTGTTACAAGTACAGAGGCGGCCCTAGGTAATTTTCAATGGTAAGCAAACAGTATTCTGACGCCCCCCCCCCAAAACCAATCACTATCTATATATTTATATACCGTAAAAACCGGGGTACTAGACGACTTTTTAGGCCGCTCTCCTTTCTAGCCTGGCCTTGCGATTCTCACGTCTTCTCCCGCGAAACGTCTCGCAGGAGAAGACGCGAGAATCGCGAGGCCTGGCTCGGAAGGAATGCAGCCTAAGCAGCGCTCCTTCCTAGCCAGGCCTCCTGAAAATCGCGAAGCCATGCGTGGGAGCTCCTCAAGAGTGCCCCCCCCAGACGGGCGCCCTACGCAAAAGCGTAATTTGCGTACTGTCTTGGGCCGCCTCTGTACAAATATAAACAGTTGAAAGCACTTCATCCTCAAGGCAAAAGGGTTCTGGACCATCCTGCAAGGAATTAAAACTACAATTTAGTTTAAGCTCAAAATCTCAATCAAGTGTTAAAACATCTTTAGAAGCCTCCCTTTGAAGAGCAACAATGGAAAACTTCCAAAAGAGTGGAGTTCACAACTGAAAGTGGTCCCAAAGTCAAAAGGCAGTGCTCCTTTTCCTCTGGGCTTGGATGGAAAAGCGCATCCTTCTCTCATTGGCTGATGCAGCCTCAGGAGGCGGGGCCACGGTTGCTCCTCGCCAGGCCATTGGGCGCTTTGGAGATTGTTGCCCTGGGAATCCCTCCCTCTCCAGCTGCAATATCTGGGTTTGGCTTTAGCATTATCAATGGCTTCTTCTGCATTTGCAAAACCGAAACAAAAATAAAAAACGTCCACATTGCAAACTTTTCCAAAGTCCAAGGGCGTCCAGATCCTTTCCTTTTCCCTGGAAGATGGGCGCAGTACAGGTGAGTGGGGAGATCTTGGGCCACACTATTATATTATATTATATTATATTATATTATATTATATTATATTATATTATATTATATTATATTATATTATATTACTAGCTGTACCCGCCACACGTTGTTGTGACCAACCTTCCCTCCCTCTTTCTCTCCTTCCTTTCCTCTTCCTTTCCCTTCCTATTTATCTTCTTTTCTTCCATCTCTACCTGTTTCTTTCCTCCCTTTCTTTTCTTTGGTTCCCTCTTTCCTTCCTTCCTTCCTTCTTTCCCTCCCTCCTTCCTCCTTCCCCCCTTTCCCTCCTTCATTCCTTCCCTCTTTCCCTCCTTCTCTCGTTACTTCTTGACTGCCCCTTCCAACTCTATTCTGTATGTCTCTTTCTTTCTTTCTCTCTTTCCTTCATTCCTTCCCTCCCTCCTCCTTCCTTTCTCTTCCTTCTTTCTTTCTTTCTTTCTTTTTCTTTCTTTCTTTCTTTCTTTCTCCCCCTCTCTCCCTTTCCTTCTTCTCTTCCCTCCCTCCTTCCTTCCTTTCTCTCCTTCCTTCCTTCCTTCTTCGTTTTTCTTTCTTTCTCTCCTTCCTTCTTTCTTTCTTCCTTTCTCTCCTTCCTTCCTTCCCTCCCTCCCTCCTCCCTTCCCTCCCTGTTTCCCCTTTCTTTCTTTCTTTCTTTCTTTCTTTCTTTCTTTCTTTCTGTCTCTCTCTCCTTCCTTCATTCCTTCCCTCCCTCCTTCCTTCCTTTCTCTCCTTCCCCCTTTCCCTCCTTCATTCCTTCCCTCTTTCCCTCCTCTCGTTACTTCTTGACTGTCCCTTCCAACTCTATTCTGT